CTGGTTTAGCATCAATTACCACAAGAAGTCTGGAATTATGAACTTGCATGACCAGATTGTTCAGAAAATGAATTTAGTCCCAACAGTGGCGGAGCCAGAATTTTCATTAAGGGGTATCAAAATATATAAAAGTAAACATACGAGAAAATTAAGGGGCGTCAACACATAATATATATGCATATGATTTTGTTTATCTACCTAGACAGTGTATTTTCCCTGCAAAGGGGTGTCATTTGACTCCCCTTCCTATAAGGTGGGTCCGCCACTGGGTCCCAAATGTTAAGTATTCATCCAACACCAAAGACACGAAATTCTAAGAGTAAACCGGTGACTTACTTGATGGAGCCACTCATATGGTTTCCCCCTCTCACAACTACCTCTCCCAAAAAGGAGGACTTGGAAATAGGAAATTCCATGTGTTGCAAATGGGTGCAACATGCATCCCTAAACTTTGGTTGCCTAAGAAAAGTTCCTCCAAATTTGATTGTGCTGCCAGTNATATATATATATATATATATATACCTCTGATTATTTTGTCGTGAACTCAATTATTACTATATATTAACTCGAGATCGTTGTATGAACCCATAAACTTCAAATTGTAGATCTGCCTCTACTAGTTAGTTTCATCGTTGTATGATATTGCCCAGTTTGGCAAGGGATTGGCGGTTTATTTTCTCTTGTCCCACTCCCACATATGCCTGTTCATTATCCAATTTTCAACTGTAATTTTTGTTTGTTAATAAGCATGGGTCTCAGGTGGGCACAAGTATTGGATTAAGAATGATAGACACCTAAATATTGAATATACAATTTGAACTTGCTTATGAATTCAATTCAATCACAATGGGATGGTGCTGTCTATATTGTAGACTTCGCTTCTTTAGGTGTTGCCAATGCTTCTTTATTGTAAAGTTCAATATACTCGAAACAATTGACACATGAATATACTAGCAACTGTATCAATGTTTTGATGGCTTAAATTTATGGTCAAGTTGCTTACATTTGTTAATGGCTTGTCACTGTTAGTTTTTAAACCCATATTAAAAGTCAGTGATGAGTCATGTTAAGAGTCAATGCTAGTTGCAGTCTAGCAGATTCTTTTTTATACACTAGTTGGTCCCTGGATACTTGTACTGGCAATTTAAATCTACAAGTTTGCTGCCGTACATTAAAGTTGAGCACAACTTGTGGAGTTAAAAGCTGCATCTATCAACTTCTATTCTTTATATAAAAGGCTAAACACATGGAGACACTTAAAGTTGGAGTATTTTTCATTTAGACACCTAAGCTTAGGGGTGTTTCTAATGAGCACGTAAACTCCCCGAAATTTGTTCCAATTAGACACCTTTTTGACAATTGGCCAAACTTACCAAGTGTGTGCAATACACTTGTTGCTGACATGACAAATGATGAATTAAATAAGGACATATATTATTTTGAATTTAAGAAAAAGAAAAACTACTTTAAAATCTATTTAATAAACAAAAAGAAAAATAAAATCTCAAAAAGAAAAAAAAAACATAATTTACGCCCATCAGAAAAAGGACACATTATTAACTAAAAAGAGAAGAAAGAAAAGGACACATTGGTGTTCTTGAAATCAGTGTTGTTGGTGTTCTTCACTATCTTCATGCGTGTTCTTGTTCCAGAGCCACGCTTTTAATCCAAAATTTCAAGAGAAACTCCTCCAAATTTGTTATAACTTCAGCTAAAGATTCCCCACGAAGACCCGAAGACAACACTAACATTAATTTCTCAAATTTTCATCAAATCAAGTGACCCATTTTAAACCTTCAGGCTTTCTAAAGGCCCCATTAATGGTGTTTGATTTCAAAGAAAGAACACAGTTTCACTTCAATTCCAATCAACAGGGACAATTGTTGGTTCAAACTTTCGAGCTAAATCAATGGTGGAGGCACAACAACGGTAAAAATGGGGGAGACAATGGTGGAAGTGGTGGTGGAGAGAAAAAAAGGAAAAAAAAAGAATCTGTTTTTTGGGGTCCTCACGCGCTTATATTGAGTTAAACTCACTCGATGTGCCAACTCAGCAAGAAGTGCTTAACCAGAACAAATTTCTGGTACTGTAAGTACTTAATAGTAACACCCCTAAGTTTAGTTGTCTAAACGAAAAATTAGGCCAACTTTAAGTGCCTCCATATGTGTTCAGCCTATATAAAACTATTGTAGGGTGAGAAGTAAACATTTGAAATTTAAAATTGAAGCACTCGTCGTAGAGAAAAAGAACTCAAGGTGAAGAGTATGAGCCATACGCTAGACATTTGAAGTCTGTCTTTATCATTTGCATGAGCATCAATTAATTGGGATGGATTTTTCCTCATTTGCAGTCTCTTATAACTAATGCTTGTCAATCTCTCCCTTTTTTCTTTAATTTGATTAAGTTGTGTCTCTCAGTTTCCATAAGGCTAGCTTTTTACAAGTTGTCACAAGCTGAGGCTATGTTTTGTCTGGATAACGATTTTTGGTGGGATGTCATAATGAGCTTAGTTGTTTCCTTTTTCTTTGTATTAAGCAGAATAGGATTAATTTTGGAAGGATGGAGTTGATTTCCCTAGTTACTCTTAGTTGTTTCACGCTTTGGGTGGAAAATTGATACCTACCTTAGTCTTTTATGTGGATTGTTTGGTGGTGAAAGGACTAAGGAGTTATGTGATACATAATATTTATTCATGTACCAAAAAAAATGATATATGATATTTATACATGTGCATGTATTGTGCTTTTAGCATGCTGATGGTTCATTCTTTTACTTTCCAGTACCCTATGCATGATTCTAGTAGCCCCATTCTTCCGGCCTTTGTGCCCATCAAGTCAGAAATAACATTGTGCTAAGAAGTTCTTGAAAAGAACTTGAAAGCTAAATGGCATAATGTTATGAATAACAAATGGTTGAATGATTACAAAGTTCAAATCTACTCTATCAAAGAGAAATCTGAGAACCCAAATCCTAAATAATATATGCGAGTCCTGATTCTTTGTCTATCAAGAGCTTCTTAAAAGGAAATAAATAAGACAAAGTAATCCCTAACAGAAGGTGGAACATGAAAAGCTAAGTGAAAAAAAAACCCGTCCTCAATGATAACACAATAACAGATTGCTATAAGATCTCAACTAAAGTGACAGTACCACTGATTTGAACAATAACAGTGAACCATACTCTAACTTTTAATATTTGATTATATAAAAGTTTCTGCCTATTTGATCATCATATATGCTTTAGATTGTGCTAGCAAAACATGTTGGTTACCAATCTAACAATAATAGCACTGCTGGTATTCTGTGGAGGTAGCGATACAGTAATATGGTCGATTTAAGGGGTTTCATGATGTTTTGAAGTTTGGAATTGGGTTTGTTGTTATGTTGTGGAGGATGAAGACGCTTGCGGTGTCCACTTGAAAAAAACTGTGGCGGTAGATGAGGAGTGAGGAAATGTATTTTGGTCTGAAATTGTTAAGGGGACTTCTTTTCATTTGAACTTGGATTGAATCTCTCAAATGGGGTTTCAGAAGGGGACTGAAAATAGGTACTGTATTTTTGTTTCTCTCTCTCTTTTCTTGGTGGTGAAGAGGTAGGGATTGGAAAGGATTGGTCAAGAAAATATGCCCAAAAGTAAGCACGTGAAGCTTCAAAAGTGGAAAAATAAATTAAATATTCAAATATGTGGGTATCAATCGTAATTGTTTTAGTGTGGGAATTAATCCAATTTCATCTACTTCTCTTCCAGGAATTGAAGGAGCGAATTGAAAGAGTGAAGGAGAAGAGTGGCAGAGATGGAGTTCTCGCAAAAGACAGTGAATTTAGTGATGAGATGATGGGGATACGTAGAGACTTTGTTGCCATACACGGGGAGATGGTTCTTCTGAAAAATTACAGCTCTCTAAATTTTGCAGGTACTGTAGCTTTTACACTGTTTTATGCATACATTTTAGTTATCACTGCTCAGGCTTTTGTGTTTCAAGTGTCGTATTGCTAGTTTTTGCAGAATAACAACCTGAAGTAGAGTCTCTTCCAATTTTATGAAGGTAGGTACCGTCAGCCTTCTAAAACAAATTGTTTTGTTCACTTAGGTCTTGTTAAGATTTTGAAGAAGTTTGATAAACGAACTGGGGGATTGTTGCGTCTTCCTTTCACACAACTTGCTCTTGATCAACCCTTCTTTACAACGGAGCCTCTAAATAGATTAGTCCGTGAGTGTGAGGAAAATCTCGAACTCCTATTTCCTTTGGAAGCGGAAGTTGTTGAATCAGATGCTACTGCAGAAGGGCCAACAGGAGGAACTACTTCTTATGCTTCAAACATTTCTCCGGCATTGCCACTTGGGGAAGAAAATGTGGATATATATCGAAGTACACTTGCTGCAATCAAAGCCATTCAGGGGCTGAAAAAGGCAAGCTCCACATATAATCCACTATCATTCTCATATATCTTTGGTGACCAAGATAATGATAGCACGGGCGCTATAACGGCAGAGAACTCTGATTCAGACCAGTTGGTTGCCTCTCAGAATGATAAAGAGACAGATCAAGAGGATTCCCATCCACCAGAATAGAATTCACCTTTGTAGTTTGCTTATTGGTCTTTGCTCAGTGGTTTGTTGTTAACCGAGGGAGATAAAATGGTTTGCTTCTTCATTGTATACGACTGTTCTGGAATAAATTGCTCGCTCCATCTGTAACTTTAGCACTAACGTGACATTGCAAAAGCTTGATTATCTAGAATTCTTGTTTGGAACTTTAGAGGGCAAAACCTTTAAAGATATACATTCAGCGGAAGATGTTTAGGATCATCAAAGTTAGTCTTTACAAATCTCGAGCACTCTAGTTATTCGTGCTACCATTTCTATTAATTGTGTGTTTAGTTTATTACGTGTCCTATTTGTAAATTTGACTCTGTGTCATAATTTTTGATCAATAGATGTGAAGTGGTGTGGATCATCTGGTGTGTTTTCATGTTTTTGATACAGAACGTAAAGAGCATTTTCATGAAGAAAACTAAACTATATTATAGCATTTTCACGAAGAAAACTAAACTAATATTAGAAGCACCATTGATGAATGCATCAAAGAACTGTACAAGAAAAGGGCAACCAAGAAAACAGAAAATAATTTTATCTTGAGTACTCTGGGTTCCTTTGACTTGTATCAGCTAAACATAGCTATAGACTCTTATCTTCGTCGTAGTTGAAAGGCAGTGGTACGGACTTGGAGGCACGATATTTCCCAACGTTATTCAAGTGTTCATTTTCCAACCTGAACAATGAAAACAGCAGACTACTGTTAGATAGAAGCACGCTATCTTTTACAAAATGTCAAATAAATACACAAGTAGCTGGCTAACTCATCAAATAGCTGCTATACTATTATGGACAGTTAGTTGTTGTTATCTTTTAGATGACTTGATTATGTAAAAGTTTCTTTACACTGTCATTGAATATATGTTAAACTCAAATAGATAATGCTTTCCACCTGAAAAAGTTCCACATGCCTCGACGAAGGATCTCTAGACAGGCAACTATTGCAACCATTGCTTTCTTGTGCAGAAACGGTAGTTCTTGAAAATCTAGAACCAACTGCATCCATACTAGTCTCAGAATTATGTTAAGAACCTGCATTTAGAGTTCAATCATTAAAAAACTTAATTTTCACCGGAAGAGCTTTATGATATAACCTGTTTCTGCACTTACAATAGCAACAAAGTAGACAATCTTGTATGGCACAAGTAGTTTGTCTCTCAACCAATGGTTTCTTGAACTCCTTTGCAATAGACCCCAATCTATGACAATGTCCCAGTAAGTGTTTGCAACTGTAGTAATTCCTGAAGTTGATGCTGCCATTATTCTCCAAAAGGTTCCTCTCCTTTGATCATAAAGTGTCCTCATTACAAGAGCAATAATGGTTGACAAATATTTGAGGCTATTAAGCCCGTGCATCGAATCTTTCTCTTCAAATAAGCGGCGAAGGCACTGTATATATCATGAAATCATACAATGCACCATATTAAATAAATGTCAAGATATATATAGTGGGGAAATGGGAATATGATGATTTGTTGTGTGCAAAAATTATAATACCTGAATGAACCGAGACCAAAAGGGAATAATTGCAACGACTATGTATAAGATTTGATAAACACTGCTTTCTTGACATTTATTTGATCTTGTTCTGAAGTTGCCCCACCCATAGTAGCAAACATAGAATTGCAAACTCCTAATTGCCTGAACCTGAAAATGAAATGCAAGAGAACATTATAGTCCTATAAGTAATGCAAATTTTGCACATTACACTGACTGAATTATCAACTTCTTGAATCCTCTTTAGGTATAATATAGAAGTTTCATATTTAAAAAGAAAAATTTTGAGTCAAACCTGGCTGGTAAGTTGATCTGCCAAGAAAAAATCTGGTAGAGTAACCTACAAAATGATGAGAGACATTTTAGTAACTATGTACTTCCTGTGATATTAATGCGCATCTCTATATCTCTCACGCAAACTTTTGGTACCTTATAAAGGGGAGCACATAGACACTGCCAGGAACATCTTATAAGGAAGAAACGGCTTGAACGATATATGATGTTCAGAGGACAAAAAGTTATTAGAAGCAGAACCTGGAAAAATAAGATTTACAAACATTAGGGGTTTGTAACTTGAAACATTGTGTATAGATCTGTTGTAGAATGTTTTTCTAGACTTACAGACACCAGGACAAGTGGGATCAGCTCAGTCACTGTCTCAAAACTTCGTTTTTTCGGGTCCATGTCCATATCCAGGTGGAAGAGTCCAGCACCCAATGCAAGTACTGAAACACCAGAAGCAAGGAGGAGTACTTGTCTGTAATTGAGCTCTGTTCCTTGCTTGAAGCCAAATATGAAGGGATAATTGACCCGAAAACGCCTCCAGTAGTATATGTTCCCCGCGTACATGAGCATATGGAGGACAATGAATCCAAATAGGCTGCAACGATACAATTTTATTACTCATATTTATTGCTTAAAACATGGTTTCACTTAATGTAGAAACACAAGGGGAAAGAATCAATACGACTTTGTAAAAGACAGATGTTAATCAGTTCACCTGTACAGTGGAAATACGTTTTCCATATACTGCCCACGACCCTTGTGCTCTAGAAGGTTTCTTAAATGTATTGATACAGCAATAGCTGCTACTAATGCTATTGAGCATCCAGAAAACAAACCTATAGGTAAAATGTATATCAGCCACTAAAATGAACATATGGTTCTGATGAAAGTGAGATGACAGGTCAATCCAGATGTCTCTTAAAACTCTGGTTATGATGCACTAAGCCAACTTTTTGTAACCTCTGATAGAGGCGATCAAGGATCTAGAGTTGATTGATTCAAATGAGTATGATATAATTATATGTATACATTTACAAATTTATTTTGCATATGGTTACATAGTTCAAACTGAACAATGGTTCAGTTGAACCGGCAGAATCCACCCTAAATCCTCCTTTTGACCTCTGATTACATAGGACGAGGAAGTTGATGCTAATAATGATGCATAATTACCCATGAAAAATGTTACTCTATGCGTTTCTCTTTTAGCTTGTGGTCTTAATACTTTCATTCCTTTCCTTCGATTTCCATTGACAAAATGATTTATGAACGTGACCTCCACTCTTTCTGTGAGCTTAGAAACCTAAAAAAGTGAATATCAATGCGAAGTTAAAACTATAGTTGCAAGTGGAATAATGCTGAGAGGGAAAAAGCTTTTGAAACTGAAAGAAAATTTACCTCATCTGAGCTACCAAGATAAGATTTTTCAATCATATCTGAGTATGATTTAGAAGCTTTCCTTGAGGTGATCTGTATCAATAAATTGCAAGGTTAAAAAGGCCAAACTTTATACGAGTACTTTATATTGCCAAATCTTCAGTGTAGTACCTTATCATACTTCTTCATGATCTTGGAAAATGCCAACATATTTAAGAAACTGGCACATTAAAATACTTAAGTGTGAGTTGATTTCAAGACAAAAACAAAACTATAAGTCCTCATTTGGGAGAAAAAATTGCACCATTACCGGTAACTTTTTAGAAGTCGAAGCTTTTGATAAAACTCAACAAAAGCCTTTCTCATTTGCTCTTCAGCTTTTCTGAGCTCTTCTTTGCTGAATGATAATTCTGATGTTGAAGTCATGCAGCAATTTCTTAAAGTCGAGACAGGTGTTTCGGGTTCAACATTGATTTTTACATAGTCCAAAATCTCTAGTGGAGCAGGCCTAAAACCCATGGGATTCATCTTTGATTTATCTCTTTCCCTTCTTGTTGCTTTCTCTTCCAGAATTTCTTCACTGTTCATCTCAACTTCTTGAATTGCCTCCATTTCTGGCCTATCTACATTGGGGTTAAACAAGAATTCGAACAAATTAAAGGGCAATCATTGGATGTTAGCAATAAAGCAAGTGCCAACAGCTGGGATGTCAAACTGTACATCTACTTTTGACTATGGTTTAAAGTCACTCTACATTATACTAAAAGGTTGAAGCTCCATTTTTTTCAAAAGCAAATGCGGAATGATTTTGTTGCGACAGAGGTATGAATGACCCCAAATATAACCAGAGGCGTAACCAGAATTTAAAGTTTATGGGGTTTGGGATTATAGTTCGTTTAAGCTACTGGATTCTAAATTAATATATTGTACTAAGGATTTTTTAAGACAAATATGTGGTTTAGACCAAAGTTATTGGGTTCGACTGAACCCGTATTTAACATGCTTGCTCCACCCCTAAATATAACGAAGGATAAAATAAAGATACTCAATATAGCAAGGGGTAATCCCCTCCCCCCAATATTTTCCAAAAAAGATGGAACAGGAACATAGTAGCCAAAGTATCTGCACTTACTTGGACTAGTCAAATGAATAGGATCCACTGATGCTGGAGACAAGGTACTACTATTATCATTGCTTGAAGGATCCATCACTTGGGCTGTGTGCATTCCAATTGAAGGCTTATCAACCTTGATTCTTAGAGCAATAAGTGCTTCCATTTGTATACTCAACTTATCAGCCTCAACCTTCACTTCTCTTACTTTTTCCTGGTAAAAGGTTAGCACTTTGTTGAATTCATCATCCAATCTCCTAAAGAAAACCAGCTCACATTCTCCACCTTCTTCACAAGACACAAAGAAAGTGGTTTCAAAATCACCTTCTGAATTCACTACTGTCACTTCATCTTCATTATTTTTCCTAGGAGAACTTTTGAAACTGTTTTGTAGTCCACTAAATGCTCTGTACATAGATAGCCTTTTCCTTAAAGAGCCTTTTGGGGTGACTGCAACTTGTGGTAATGGTGCATTCTTCTTTTTGAATTTCAAGATTTTTTTCAACTCATTCTTAAGAGAATTATAATCCATGTAAGCTTCTTGCCATTCATGGACCATTTGGGATGCATATTCTTTCCCAAATTTCATCTCTATCAAAGCTGATTGATTACTCTATGCCTTTTCTTGAGAGAAAAAATGGGACTTTATTTGCTTTACCAAATCCAAAAATGAAAAGATTGGTCTTTTATAGAGGATTTGGCGTCTAGCCATCATAAGAGAATATGGTCAAGAATCAAGTTGTTAAAAGGGACTATGTCTTAGCTGGTTTTGTTCTCTCATGCACAGAACTACAAAGGTGGCCTACTTTGAACTGCTATTAAAGGCACCCGACGTCCCAACAAATAACAACTTGTGATGTTTGGTCCCGGCGACTACTCAGTGGGTACATGCTTGTCTCTTACTAGCAAAAATATCGGATAATTCTATCTATCAAGACTTAGACAATATGCTAATAAATCACATTATGTTTTTTTTGTCTATGCAAAGATTAAAATTTTGAGCTTTCATGATTCTCACCTACTTTGTTGAACGCCACACCACTTAACAGGAAAGTTCCCTAGATCTTCGTGAAGTTTAGTGGTAACACCAATGATGACATAAACCGTCTTTTATCGCTGAAAACAAGAGCATATCAACTGTAGAAAGATTTGTTTTTCACTGTAAAATAAGTATTGATTAAGCAAATGCACGGTTTAATAAATCTTCGCACCATTTCTCCTCTCAATCTTCCCACTACTGCCCTCAAATTCCTTCAAAATTACCTCTTTTGTTTTCACTCCTAATGCACAATTTTTATACAGATGAGACCCTTTTCTTAATCTTTCACATTACTGTAAAGATTTAGCAGAAAGATAAGCGAAGCTACTGATGCTCACAAGAGCTAAAAGACTTCCTTTTTGTGTTATCGGAAGGTTCAAGTTTGATTAGGGTTTGCCTCATGATTATATTTGAGCCTTTTACCTGAATTTTCTGCGTATTTTCAAATTTGTCAAATGGATACTAATGATTCTGATGGTTTTGAGGTTTTCAGGTTGGAGTTGGTTAAATGAAGGGAGGATTTAGCTACTTCTGTGATGGAGAAAGGGTGGTGAATTACGGGTAGGAAAAGAGTGCATACTAGGTGTTTGACGTAATTACCAATAGGGTGTAATTTGGAGAAAATGGTGAGAAATTGGGTTGAGGAGGAATGGCAGAATTTACCAAGCAATGGCTGCTTCTCTCAGTTCCAATTCGACCCATTTAATTTTGAAACCGTTTATTTAATGTTTGCTTTACTTCGAGAAAGCTCGCTGCTTTAATCCAAGAACCACAAAATCAGGTCTTTCAATACCACAAAGGTTCACTTCTGGCAAAATTTCTGTCAATCTAATTTGGGTTCTGTCAAATTTTTAAAAGTAATTTAAATACATTACTTTTGTGTTTACCAATTTTTAGATAACGTGAAAGTCATACCCTAATAGGGTTGTGACACGTGTCATTTACTTTAACAAGGGGGAAAAATATTAAAAATTACAATTAAAACCCATCTTCTTGCTCTTTCCATTTTCTTTTTTAAGCACCATTGTTGCTGCCATCGTGATTGTTTGTGAGAAAGTTTCCAACAATACCAAAATCCAACCACACTGTCTAAACAACTAGTCGAAAATAATCGAGCAACAAATTGAGTTCAACAAAACCCAATTGAATTTTCAAGCTTTTTTCTATACCGATTTTTTCACCAAACCTTTATTACTACTGTTAAAACTTTTAAATCTATCACAAATAAATAATTTTTACAATATTTGAACAATAAACCAACGAAAGCCGCTCAATTTTAGATCTAAAATTATATGTTCTTTCGAAAATTCAATTTGGGGAAGAAGATAAGGGGGAGAGTGGTCTGAGGAAGAAGACCAGGGGCAGGGGGAGGGGTTCCTGTGGGGAGGGAGACAAAAAATATGATTTTTTATGGGCTTCACATGTTTTTGTGTGTGTAAACACATAAGTGCTGTTTGGTCAAAAGTAGTGTGTCTTAGACACATTTTTGAAAGATTGAGTGCGTAAAAGATTTCTCGTAAAAGAGGGGTGTAACAGAGATTTCGCTACAAGGTTGATGGGTAGACTATATATTTTGCCTCAAAACTTTATTCGTATAGAGCAAGGGTATTATGTTGGCCGTCTTTACTGATTAATGTGTATTTTGAAAATATATGGGACCTCACACATTCATTGCTTTGTTAAAGAAACTTGGACTCGTGTAATATTGTCAGCTGTATTAATTCTTCAGCTATTGTTTTCGCGTGGTTTTGTTAACTTCATGCATCAATCATGGGCCTATGAAAACGATAAGAATTTTAATGAAAAGCTGCATTGGTTGTACCATGTCTTGGTGGAGAGAGTCAACCAATTATCAAGCACGAATCAATTTAGACTATTCATGAGCAAGTGTATCCGATTGCAGTTGGAACATTCATTGCGTTGTTGAAGCTGGAACTCTTTCGACGAAGAAACCTGGACTCGTGTATATTATTAGCTGTATTCTTCAGCTATTGTTTTCGCGTGGTTATGCTAATTCCATGCATCAATTATGGGCCTAAGAAAATGCTAAAATTTTTCCAGAAAAGCTGCATTGGGTTGTAGCACGTCTTGGTAGAGAGAGTCAACCAATTATCATGCACGATTCAATTGAGACTTTTCATGAGCAAGAACTTTAAGACTAAAAGAATGTATCTTTTGGATCTAAACCAGTTTTTGGTGCATTAAGTTCAAACACAACAATTTTTAGAACGTAGAAATCTGAAGCAAAAACAAAAAGAACATTTCAGCCTCTTGATTATAGATTTTTCTTCTGGAGTGTTGCAGTAGATGTGACCAGGAGGTTACAAGCCTCTTGCAGAAAACCCTGTGGTCCGGCCCTTCCCGGCGAGAGCTTAGTGCACCGGGCTGCTTGCGGTAGATGTGTACTGTTGTCATTTTTTATTTTTAATACGTATGGAATCCTTAATCAAGAGTCTTGAATCAACTTTCTTTTTGTCCTATACATTCACTTTCAATTTTCATGAACAAAACTATATTATAAACACCATTAACGAATGATTCAAAGAATTGTACAAGAGAAAAGAAAATATTTTGAGTCTTGAGTACTCTGGATTCCAACTTCCTTGTATCAGCTAATTAAACATAGTTATATACTCTTGTCTTCATCGTAGTTAAACGGCAGGGGTACGGACTTGAAGGCACGGTATTTTCCAACGTTATTCAAGTGCTCATTTTCCAACCTGAACAATGAAAACAGCACAACTACTGTCAGATACAAATATGTTGTAACAGGTAACATGTCTTATTTTTCAGGTTACTACTCCACCACTTTTTATGGACGGTAGTTATCTTTTAGGTGACCTGAAAATGTAATCTATAATGGTGTTAGTGCATAGAAGTTAAACTCAATAAGTAATGTGTCTGACCTGAAAAAGTTCCACATGCCACGGCGAAGGATTTCCAAACTGGCTACAACTGCAACAAATGCTTTCTTGTGCAGAAATGGTAATTCTTGAATATCAAGAACCAACTGCATCCATACTAGTCTCAGAATAATGTCAAGAACCTGCATTTAGAATTCAATCATCAAAAGCTTAATTTCAGTAGAAGAGTTTGTAATATATTTTAAACCTGCTTCTGCACTTACAATGGCAACAAAATAGACAATCTTGTGTGGCACAAGTAGTTTGTCTCTCAACCAACGGTTTTTTGAGTTCCTTTGCAGTAGACCCCAATCTATGACAATATCCCAGTAAGTATTTGCAACTGTAGTAATGCCTGAAGTTGATGCAGCCATTACTTTCCAAAAAGTTCCTCTCTTCTGATCGTAAAGTGTCCTCATAACAAGAGCAACAATGGTTGAAAAATATTTGAGGCTATTAAGCCCCTGCATCGAATCTTTCTCTTCAAATAGGCGGCGAAGGCACTGTATATATCATGAATCATACAATGCACCATATTAAATAATTGTCAATATATCTATTGTCACAATGGTCATCTTTTTATGTGCAAAAATCCTCACACCTGAATAAACCGAGACCAAAAGGGAATAATTGCAACGACTATGTATAAGATTTGGTAAACACTGCTATCTTGACATTTATTTGATCTTGTTCTGAAGTTGCCCCACACATAGTAGCAAACATAGAATTGCAAACTTCTAATTGCCTGAACCTGAAATGCAAGAGCACATTATAGTTCTTTCTGATAAGTATTGCAGAATTTGCACACTACAGTGACTGAATTATCAATTTAAAAGGAAAAAGCCTGGTGTCAAACCTGGCTGGTAATTTGATCTGCCAAGAAGAAATCTGGTAGAGTAACCTACAAAGTGATGTAAGACATTTCAGTATCTATGTACTTCCTGTGATATTACTAATGCGCGTGAATCTGTATATCGATTAAATAAGCTGCTGTTACCTTATAAAGGGGAGCACATAGACAGTGCCAGGCACATCTTATAAGGAAGAAACGACTTGAACGATATATGATGTTCAGAGGACAAAAAGTTATTAGAAGCAGAACCTGGAAAAAAAGTGAAGATCATTAAGGGGTTTGAATTTTTTTGAACGTTTTGTATATAGATCAGTTGTAGAATGAAAGTAGAAGAAGAAGTAATGTTTTTTCTAGACTTACAACCACCAGGGCAAGTGGTATTAGCTCAGTTACTGTCCCAAAACTTCTTGTTTTTGGATCCATCTCCATATCCAGGTTGGCCAATGCTGCAGCTAATGCAAGTACTGCAAGACCAGAAGCAAGGAGAAGAACTTGTCTGTAACCTAGTTCTGTTCCTTGCTTAAAGCCAAATATGAAGGGATAATTGACCCGAAAACGCCTCCAGTAGTATATGTTCCCCGCGTACATGAGCATATGGAGGACAATGAATCCGAATAGGCTGCAACGATACAACTTTATTACTCATATGTATTGCTTAAAACATGGTTTCGCTTAATGTAGAACGACAAGGGGAAAGAATCAATACAACTTTGTAAAAGACAGATGGTTAGTTCACCTGTAGAGTGGAAATATGTTATCCATATACTGCCCACGACCCTTGTGCTGTAGAAGGTTTCCTGCACGTATCGATACAACAATAGCTGCCACTAATGCTATTGAGCAGCCAGAGAACAAACCTATAGGTGAAAAGTACATCAGTTACTAAAACTGAACGTTGT